ACAGAATCCAGTTATAAACATGGAACCAAAGAACAGAGGCCAATGATATCTTATTTCAACGATAATATAAAGAGTAATTTGTCCACTGCCTAAAATTCAATGCTGTGATGACAGCATTGTTAATATTGTATTTAAACACATCAGTATTTCTTCAAATTATTTGTTTTGGATGAGAATTTCATATTGAAGTTATTGTTTTTTACAGATATATGAACAATTATTTTCCTACTGTCTTAAACAAGTAACTTTACCCTGATTTCTTTGCAATAGGGGCTGTAGTATCTTAGCCCAGTGTTTGCTTCTGTAAGGAGCACCATGAATGAAGTCACGATTGTTTTCATGTCAATACCATCACTTAATTAAACAGTACAGTTACACCCTCTCATTTAAGCTGTGGTTAAGAGCCCTGTGGTTGCGGGTGGAGGAGGGGGGAAGTAGGATGAAATGTAAGAAGGAAGGGATATCTCTTCCAGGGAATGGGAGCCCAACTTAAGTTCACATATAAAAATTAATCCCCAACTGCCTTTAAAAACCAAGAAAGTCATCTTTAACTCAACAGGAACTTCTTTCCTTCCCAAAAAGTATTTATGGGCTATTGTCTACTTTTGCCCTGAGGAGCGTACCTCAGCAATAGGTACATCCGTCCCTTTATATACTGTCCAGGCGGTTAGTACAATGCTTAGCCTCCTAAGAATTACTTTTTGCAGAACCATCTTCATCCAGCTGCTTGCTGAGGTCTTTGCCTTGCTGCTGATTTTGAGCTTTCTAATGTAAAGCCTGTTTTAGCCTGTGACTCCTTATAGCTTACACTGTGAAAGGACTGGTTTATAATTTCGTAGTACAAACTGCAAACAAAATAAATAGGCTACCTAATTAAACATTAACTTTAGGGAAGACTTACTTCAGTGTGTTCTGAACTGCCCTAACCAACTATCAAGTACCTTAGTTTAAAGCAATAATATCCTACTAACCCACATTTGCATCTTCATTGAAAATATACAGATTTTAAGTTAATTCAAATTACTTACTGCATCTTACATGCCAGTTTCATCTCAAAGAAGCTAAAAAGTACTTGTAAGGGGAAAAATATTTTTAATTTATGTATAAGCAGAAATTAAAACAAATAGGGCTGTTATCTAAACTCTGTTTTAAAGAACATCTAAAAGTAGATAACATCTAAAATCTAACACTATTAGATTTTTTTTTTTAAACTACATGGCATAACTGTCAGGGTTAAAAAGCCAAAGATTTAATCAGACAAACCCAAGCTCTAGACATACATTGTAACACGGAGACCTCTTTCAATGTTCTCATCAATGAATTCATGCACATCTCAACATCATATTCCCTTTTTTTTTTTTTAAGCATAAGAACCTTTTCAAGTCTGTAACATCTTTGTTCTTCCTTCTTTAAAGAAAACCACCCAAAAAAATGCCTTTGCCTTTTTAACTGACAATATTCTGCAAGAACACTTACAAGAGACAGGCCCCACTTTCTCCTTTTAAAGAATTATCATTTTCATGATGTTTTATACAATGAGGGAACAGATTATCTTCCATAGAAGATGAATACTATAGGATATCATTGTGGAAAGCAGCTGTATCATTCAGTTAGCTATATGGCATTTATATTTAACATAGCAAAGCATAAAATGAAAATAGAGAACACAAGTCAGACTGCATCATCTTCAATATTCTGAAAGTTAAATACAGTATGTTCTGGAGGTAGAAAAATAAAGATCGTAGGGGGTGTGTGTCCAAGTTTTCTTAGAGAGTATCATTTTGCAAAACCAAATTACATCAAGATACATGCATTTGAAATGAGCACTCGAGTTGAAAAGCAAAAACACTCTAATCATCGCACATATTGCGATAAAACTGATGGCGAAAAAAGTTGTAATTCCCAATAGGGCTGTTTCAAACACTGTAAATACTGCTTCTAAAAACATGGGGAAAATGAAACTTTAACAGCAAAGATATTGACGAGTATTGGGAAATTTCTCAAAGCATGAGCTCATTCCTTTACAGAGATGGAAGCTGTACGTGAAAGGTTTATTATCTGCTGCTCCACTTGCACTAGATCGTAACTGCTAACAGAAACGCAAGCCACATACACGGACGAGGAGAAGGCACGTAGTATGGCTGGGAAGTTACAAAACTTTCCATGCCAAGGAACAGAGAGTCCTCTGAAGGCATCGCTGGTTGGTAGGAAAAAAATAATCCTTTGGCTTCTCTGCTCAGACATCAGTCATTCGGTGCAACCTACCCACCAGCAAGTCGTGCTTTCGGTTCCGCCAGCCCGGTTAAGCTCGGCGGAACTGCGCTCAACCTGAGGCCGGAGCTGGGCAAGCAG